ATCAGGGATATATTTTGGGTCTGTATCCTGGTCCCTTGTTTCTCCTGCTTTATCTTGCTTCTTTGTGTAGACTGTGATGCTCTGTTGTCTCCAAGGCATTGTGACATTTTTGTGTTTATATTTAATTGGTGATTGTATGTTGGAGTGACTTGCCCACGATTTTTGTTTTCTTTGTTTTGTTTGTATGTTATCTATGTAAGCAGGGTACTGTGCTGTGCTCCTCTATTCACTAGTTGACAGCATTTATACACTCACCAGCTGTCTCCTTTCCTGTTGTCAGCCTCTCATATGTCCCTGCCAACCTTGGCAAACAGAGCCTATTCTTAGGTGCCTGGAACCCAAATGAGAATGCTATCACTTTAAAATCCAAAATGGTTGCCACTTGTAAAGATTCAAAATGGCTGCACCCTTGGTAACTTTAAATATCCAAAATGGCCACCACTTATAAACATTCAAAATGGCTGCACCCTTGGTCACTTTAAATATACAAAATGGCTGCTGTGTGTACACAATCAAAATGCTTGTGCCCTCTGGACAACGGAAAATCAACAGCTCAGGTTGTCTCCCTCCTTGCTGTTCCCCTTCCCAGCCATAGGCCACCAGTGCAGTCATCTCTGCAGACCTTGGTGACCAGGGCTGATCTTTAGGTCAATTCTCAGGTCCCAACACCACTTGGAAATATTCGGGCTGTTGGTCCTGTCAGAGTAGCTGACAGTCTGCAACTCCGACCGTCTCTGTACTCACTGTTTTCGTTCAGGTTTTTCCACTAGTTGGTGCTTAATCCACTTCTGCATAGTTCCTCAAAGCTCAGGGCTCCAGGATTGTCTTCTATATCTCTGTCAATTGGTTTTTCTTTTCTTTGTTGAAGAGGGTCTGTGTCACTTGTTTGTCTAGTCCTCCATCTTACTGGAAGTCCCATAATCTCCAATCTTGATCCCTTTCTGAGTGGTTGGCATTGGTAGCCAGGTACCATCTAGTTCTTCTGGTCTTGGGGTTGGCTCTCACACTTTCTTTAGAGAATTATTAAGTAGTCTCCACCCATAGAAAGTACCATATATATTGTATAGGATTTTTCAAAAACAGATAAACAAAGCAATGCTTCCAATGAGATGTGAAAAATAGCTTTTTTTTCCCCTGTACTATAGAACATTGCTTTATGTTAAGTGTTATTTATAACAGGATTTGAGCAATGTGCCCTCTTATTTGGCTACTATAGGGCTGACCACTGTAGGGTTTGGAGAGGGAATTTGTCAGAGATAAGTCTTTGCTTGACTCCTGATTTTATGGTCTAGACAGGAGGAGCTCTGTGTCCAGAAGGAAACTGTAAAGGAATTTTTCACCACAGGGCCAGGAGCAGTCTATGATTTGACATCACTTTTCTTCCAGGAAAGGTAAACTGGGGACAGTCAAACAGCAAGTAGGAGGCTGAGGATTTTTGTAGTCTGGGTTTGTAGATTGCCAATACAGGCCTGCTAATAGTGGAGGATCTGGGCGACTCAGTAGTCCTGGCCCTCATACATCAGCCAGGTCTGGGAAGGCAGACCAGAATGGAGATGAGAGAGTATCTGCATGTATCTTCATCCCTAAGAGGGGCACTCCTACAGAGCTTTCAGGACCATAGCAGGGAGACTTTGTTTCCTAGGTGAGATGCTGGAATGCCTCCCCAACAACCAACCACTAGAGGTACTAGTGAGCTGATCTGTCCCAAAGATACTTTCTTTTATTCTTTTCCAGCATCATGATCCCTTGCAGCCATCAGCAATCGCCCTGAAAGTCCTATTTGGGGCACCTCACATATTTGAAGATCTGCTGGACTTGAAGACCCACATCTCTCCAGATGCCTTTTTCCAGGTTAATACTGCTGGTGTAGAGATGCTGTATTGGACTGTGGGGTAGCTGAGTGAAGTAAACTCTAACACAATCCTCCTTGACATCTGTTGTGGAATTTGCAAGTGGCAGCCCACAGCTAAGTGTATATACTGCTTAGCTCCCAAACACTGTCCACATAATACAGAGGGCTCTTGCAGCTTAATGGGGGAGGTGGTGATGGTGGTGCAGGCATAACCCCATTAGATTATGCATAAAATACCCTACTCTTATTCTCTCTTACTTCCCCAGGTGTGATTGGCCTCTCTCTGGCTCAGCATAACTCCTAGGTCCTCGGGATTGAGTTAGTGGAGCAGCTGGTAGTGGATGCCAGGTGGACTGCATCCTTCAATGGCACACAGCTCACAGTCTGAGATGTACTTGTTCCTTGCTACAGAGAGGGTTGTGTGGGAGAGGGTATCTACTGTATCTTCTACCTGTAGTGAGGAAAGGAGAAGATTCTAGAGTGGTCAGATTTAGGTCCTGATGGTTTTCTGAAAAAGGTCCTAATGACTTTCTTTTTTTTTTTTTCCTCCATTTTTTCTTATATTAATATGTTATTGTGTTTAAGGTGAGCATTTACACAGCAAATTAGGTTCCCATTGGATAATTTCTACACAGATTATTCAGTGATAGTGGCTACTGTTTTCACATTGTGCCATTATTCTCATTCATTCCATTGTGGTTGTACCATTTCTAGTACTCTAGTTTCCCTGCCCACTTACCTTTTCATCTTCTCTTTAGAGTAAATTTTGACCATTTGATTTCCTACAGATGATTTTTCAAAGGAACACTTTACTCACGTGTGATATTCTTTATTTTTATGAGCTAATTTGTTACTTAGCTAAAAGATGACCTCAAGGAATAAGGATAATTTCAGCCTAATGACTTTCTGTAATCTTTTTTTTTTTTTTTAATCAAAAAACAGAGACAGAGGAAAGGAACAAGACTAGCTGATAGGAAGAGAAGTTGGTAAAACTTTGAACAGTACAGAAGAGCCTTCTTGACATTAGACTCGTGAAGCAACATAGCATGCTACAATAGGTTTCAAGCTATTTTTAGCAGCAGAACTTTTTCCTCAGGCAAATCTTTTGCCAAACTACAATATAGAAAACAGATCCTTTTGTCCCCTCTACTCCACCTCCAGACAGCTCCTGAGGCATTGTGTGAAAACCTCTGATAGAGCAGAAAGAGCACTTGAGTAAAAGTCAAGGTTCTGTTCTTGGCATAGGTTCTGACGTACCTTGTAAGTCTCTCAGCTGTGAAGTAATATTGTGTAGTCTATCAAACACAAAGACTAACTGAGATATTCCAAAGAAAAATGCTTTGGAAAAAAAAAATGAGACAGGTCTTAAAGCATTTCTTTTGTTGTTGTTCAGAATTATGCTCCATCCAAAGAGAAAATGGCATAGCCTTAGTTCTTGTACATTTCTATAAGGCTGGAGATTTTCCTCCCACTACTGGGCTTGAGTTATGTCATGTGGCCCTCTTTCCTGCAAGCATTACCAACTGTGAATTCTATACTGGTTGAACAGAGAAGATTTTGCCACAGTTACTAAAGTCAAAGGAAGATGGGCAATTAATTGTTGTGGTGAATCCAGCTGGGGCTGGACTGTGAAAGGATAAATAACTTCTCTACTACAGAGCTAGTTGGGTGTTCTCCTTGATCTCTACTAGTATTTGACCCCTTATTCCCACACCATGCTAAGGGTGTTCCCAATGGGCTGACCCTTAAATCTTCTTCTCCTCTATTCATGACTAACCCTAAGTGTTGGTCATTTGGGAGTTCATCCTGACCAGGACCTTGATAATTTTATTACATCAACAACAATGTATTTCTTCCTTTAGATTACCAAGTGGTTAGAGCCATTTGAAATTGCAGGGCCATCCACACACTAATATTTGCTTCCCACAAGCTCCATGGTAAAATCACAAAAAACTTCATTGAATGAGTCTTGATTTCTTATTTTAATTTACTTATTTTTTTCTGGTTACCAAAGTAATCTGTACGCATTGTGCAGAATTTAAAAAATGCAGAAATATGTAAAGAAACAAAAAATGTATGGTGGTGTATTCCCTAAGGCATTTGACTGCTAACCAGAAGGCTGGCGGTTCAAACCCACCAGTCACTCCTTGGAAAGAAGACCGGGCAATCTATTTCCATACAGATACCACCTCGGAAACCCAAGGGGAGGGGTCGCAATGAGGCAGAATCGATTTGACGGCAGTGAGTTGGGTTTGGGAGGTTTTTTTAATACCACCACCAAAAGTCAATTACTGGGCCAATATTAGGGTGAGATGAGTAAGGCGCTGACTTTTGGGTGCAAAATTTAAGAGGGTGCCAAAAATCTCAGTAATCAAGATAAAAATTTTAATGCAGTATTTTCAAAAAATCAAAATTAATCCCAAAATATCCATGATGAAGAAAATAGGAAAATTTTTAATAAAGACAGGCTCTACCCCTGTACTTGCCAAACTTTGTCTCACTTGCCTCACTCTAATCCCTGATCTGGTTCCAATAAAATTTTATTTACAAAAAAAAGTGGCTAGTCCATGGGCTATATGGTTTGCCAAGTTGGTTTTCTGAAATACTGCATCAAAATATTATTTGCCTTGGTCACTGAGCTTTTTGACATCCCCTTAAATTTTACGTCTAAGGAGAATGTCTCTTGCGTCAATCTAGTCCAGGACTTGGTCAATGTGACGTAGTAAATTACATGATATGGCTTTTCTAGCCATAGTATTTGTAACTCCTACTTTGACGTGAGTAACTGAGTAACTGCTTGTTAAAGTCATCCACCTGGAGCAACAGAAAGCAATCTTCTGGGAAGTTTGCTCTCTCTCAGGTGTATAGAATTCTGATGTTGGAATTGGTTGGTTTTGGCCACTCAGCCAGGCTCAAAAGGAGCTCTTCTAAGGGCAGAAGGAGTCTCTCTGACTGCCAGCTGAGAAAGATGTGCTGCTGAGAGAAATACGCTGCTGAGAGACATGAAAGAGACATGCTGCTGGGAGAGAGACATGAGAGACTGGCATTGCTGAGAGAGAGACATGCTATTGAGAGAGACTGAGAGAGACTGTTTGCTAGGAGATGGCCAGCTGAGAGACGGGCTGCTGAGAGAGAAGGCTGGCAAAGAGAGACTGAGCACATTTCTGAACTTGAATTGTAGTTGTTGCTTCTCTGTGGCCATTGCAGCGAATTATTGAACCCAACAGAGATGGTGGGTGCTGCGGGAGTAATGGTTGGTGTCAAGGTTAGAGGGCTGGAGGGTGATGGCATGTCTGGCCTCATAGGAGCAGGCATTGGGCTGCTGCTGGTGATTCTGCCCTCCTCTTGTGTAGTTAGAGGAGGTCAGAAGATGCCACCTCCTTGCCCCTTTAGCAGTCAATGATCTTGATTTTTGAAAAGCTTTCTTCAAAAGGAGCTTCAAAAGGTGGTGCAGTGCCTAAGGCATTTGACTGCTAACCACAAGGCTGGTGGTTCAAACTCACCAGCTGCTCTGTGGAAGGAACATGGGGCAATCTACTTAGGTAAATATACACTGCCTCAGAAACCCAAGGGGGATTGCTACAAGTCAGAATTGACTTGATGGAAGTGGGTTTGGTATGAGTTTTGGGGTTCCTTTTGTAATCTCTCTCTTTATAAAATAAATAATACAGTTTCTTTATAACATTCAAACAATACATATAGGTATAAAGTGAAGATGATGTATTTGGATAAAACCAGTGAGAATTAAAAAGAAATGAATTGAGCTTTTAAGTCCATGAGTTAGAAAAATAATAGTAACCTAAGGGAAACTGAAGGAAGAAATCAATAGTAACAAAAAAATAATCCAGCATTTAATGGATTACTAAACAACATCAATAAAAAAGAACCCTGTGGACTTGACAAATAAACATATGTTATTGGAAGAACAAAATAAACTACATAAATAAATCTAATCAAAAGTAAAAAGGGGCAAACTGAAAAAAAATCCAAACAAATGTAGTTTAATGAGCAAAAGAATATAACCACAGATAGGAAAGAATTAAAAAAAAAAATTACAGTGAAACCTGTGAGAGCTAAGACTACATTGTTTTTCTGGCAAGTTTTCCACCTCTGACAGGGTACAGTCTTACCCTTTTTCTGTCCCTCATTTCAGTGGAAAATACTTCAGTTTTTCTTCTCTGACAGATGTCTGCCTTACATAGGTTCTGCCTTTTGCAGGTTTTAATATATAGGAAAGTAATTTTTGTAACTGCAACTATGTTTGAAAACTTAGATGAAATGAGATTTTCTAGGAAAAAAGTAAATGGCTAATATTAATTCCAGAAGATAGAGTAAACCTAAACAGACAAGTAATCATGGAAAAAATTGAGAAACTTGTCAAAGAGCTTCCCCCTCCCACCAAAAAAAGAAAAAAAAAAGCATCAAGCCAACATGTTTTTACAGTCACATTTCTTTGGCTATTCTTTTTTAATTTTTATTGTGATTTGGGTGAAAGTTTACAGAGCAAATTGATTTTCCATGCAGTAGTTCATATACATTTTGTTTCATGACATTGACTCCAATTCCCCACAATGTAACAGCTCTCTTCTCATTTCTTCCTTATAGTTACCTCTTCCATGTGTCCTTCTTTCTTTCCTTGGCTATTCTTGCACATTCACTCTTCCACCTGTAAATTTTACTTATTTTTCCTACTGATGGACATTTAGGATATTTCGTCTTTTGATGTTACAGTGTAGCTGTATATGTGTGTGTGATTTCATGTGTATTAGTATACTTGTAGGATAAAGCCTCATAAATGGAATTACTGGATTAATGGGTATATATGCATGTGTGATTTTACTCTGTATTGCCAAATTTCCCTCCATACGGATGGTACCAATTTACATTCTCACCAGTAATTTTTCAGAATGCATGTTTCCCCATAGTATTGCCAGTAGAGTGTGTTATCAAACTTTTTGAACTTTTGCCAATCTGCAATGTAAAAATATGGTTTCTCAAGGTACTTTTAATTTGCATTTCTATTATTATGAGAGATGACTCGACAGCACATAACAACACACAACATTATTATGAGACAGATTGAGCATCCACTCATGGCTTGTTTATGATATTCCTTTTCATATCCTCTGCTTTTCCTGTTTGGCTGCTGGCTTTTTTCTTAACAATTTCCAGGAGCTCACTATATAATAAGGAGAAAAGTCTTTGTGACATAAACTGCAAAATTTTTTCCAGTTTGTATTTTGTCTCCTATCTTAGCGTATGGTGCTTTTTATCATGCAAAAGTTATTAATATTTTTTGAACAGTTTAATTAAGATATAATTCATATAACATGTGACTCATCTGTTTAAAGTATACAGGTCTGTTTTTTAGTGTATTCAGAGGGTTGTGCATTTATCACTGTAATTAATTTTAGAACATTTTCATTAGCCCAATAATATACCTAGTACCCCTTAATCATCACCTCCAAGCCCCACTCTAGTCCTAGGCAACCACTAATCTACATTCTGTCTCTGGGGATTTGCCTATTCTAGGTAGCTTATATGTTGTTGTTGTTAGGTGTTGTCTAGTTGGCTGTAACCCTATGTACAACAAAACAAAATACTGCCTGGTCCTGTGCCAGCCTCACAATCCTTGCTATACTTGAGCCCATCGTTGTAGCCACTGTATCAGTCCATCTTGTTGAGGGCCTTCCCCTTTATCGCTGACACTCCACTTTACCAAGTATGATATCCTTCTCCAAGGAATGGTCCCATCTGACAGCATGACCAAAGTAGATGAGATGAAGTCTGGCCATTCTCGCTTCCAAGGAGCATTCTGGCTGTACTTCCTTCAGAACAGATTTGTTCCTTCTTCTGGCAGTCCATTATACTTTCAGTATTCTTTGAATACCACAATTCAAAAGCATTAACTCTTCTTTGGTCTTCCTTATACACTGTTCAGCTTTCACATGCATATGACGCTATTGAAAATATGATGGCTTGGGTTAGATGTACCTTAGTCTTCCAAGAGACATCTTTGCTCTTCTGCACTTTAAAGAGGTCTTTTGCAGCAGATTTACCCAATGCAATATGTTGTCTGATTTCTCGACTGATGCTTCTATTGGTGTTGATTGTGGAACCAAGTAATATGAAATCTTTGACAACTTCAATTGTTTCTCCAT